CCATAAAGGCTGTAAACGCTCTCGGGCATTACGTCCCAAATTGAAGTGGGTCAAGCATCTAGATTGGCCGCCCGTTTGTAGCCACCTTAACAGTCCTTTACGTTTTTATGAAGAGGGAATCAGGAAAAGTGTCACTTAGGATTTATCCTTGTCTCTAAAGTTTTAGAAGAGAACTTCCAAAACTTTTCTATAAGACTGCGTTCTCTTGGTTAAAAGAATATAGCAATCACGAACGTATATGTACGGATTTCATTAGATTTTTTAAACTTATATGGAACACTTAGACGGCTTAAAACCAGAACACGGCTGCTGCAAAGCACCCAAAAAGTCGAGCCGTGGGAAAAATAATTTGTAAACGAGTTTAACTAATATATTTCGTGTTTAAAACCGTGATTTTTTTTTATATTTATAAGTGTTATTTTTTTATTGTAAAACCATTGTTGTAATGTTTTAAATAACACACTTTTAAAGATTGAGAATGCGATATATCATTACTTAATTATATATTATCTTTAAAATAGACCCAGGTCTGTTTAAGCTAGGTTTACACTGGTGTAAACCTAGGTGTAGTTTAAAACAGTTTTTTTCTAGTAAAATATTATTAGATAAACATGTATGGCAGATGGTTATCTATCTAATAATTAAATTTACGAATTTTGTTTCATACGCTTAATGAAACCAGCTCAAATTGTAGGGACAAAATCTTTCTTTTGGTTTCGTATTAAAAAAACGTCAAATTATAATACATTAGCGCGTCTACAAAGTCCGTTATAGCACAACGTGTGAACTTTTTAAGCATTCATTCGTTCCTTTCGAAGAAATTTAAACTTAAATGTGTGTAATAAATAAGTTTGCAGACGTCTTAGTTCACTGTAACCCGTCACATATAAATGTAGCTTGGATTGCTGATATCACAGATTCCTTCTCTAGGGGCTGTGTAACTCAAGACATCACATTTCTAATTTGTCTGTGAAGAAAATATACTAGTGAGAATTTACCAAATTATTCTAAAAGGATAGGATAGTCCTCAATTTTAATGTTTTTAAAGAATTGCAATATTATATTTTATTATTAATCATCAGGTCGGGTTCGATCCCTACTGGGTCCAATATTTTTCTAATAATGAAACATGTCAGACTACATCTAGATTAGATCTACCTACTACTTTAAAAGTGTGGTAGGAATATCAAAATTCCACAGATGAAAAAGCCGTCGCTTTCGGATTCAGTCTGTGGATTTCGGAATATCTAAAGCCAAAACACGTCGACAGCGCATCTTATATAGATATTGTATTGCTTGGTTTTTTTGTCCTTTGGACAGTTGAAATCTATTAAACATAATTGTTTAAACAAAGACGCAAAATTGTTACTAATTTAAATATACGACACTAATTAATATAAAATTGAAAAAAATATAAAAACATCAATACGTACATATAGTTAGCCTACAAATCTATTTATTTTTTATAATTAGAACTGGAACAACCTTTTCTTATATAAGCGCGGAAGTGGAACTTAATTATATTATGTGTACTTAGTATTGTAGTACCTACCTACTCTGGTGTATACTTCTATATTTTTCTTATAAGTTTTATATGCTCAACGAATAAATACCTGATGTTTACGCGAGTAGGCACTTTAAAATATACTTACTTAGTTTAAATTTTTTTAACTACGGCCCAACGTTCCTCTGTGACCATGGTTACAGCAAAGCATTTGAAACATCGGGCCATAGTTAAAATAAATTACAATTAAGTTAACCAATAAATTTCAGATTTTAAGCCGCTAAAAGTGTTTTGTTTATTAATAGCATTTAGTGCAGCTAAATATTAATATTATTATCATCTCAATCATATTGTATACTGGTATAATTATATAACAAGGTTACAACAATACCTTGTTAATAAAGTTTGGTAAAGTAAGTACAGTGTAAAACGTGAATCGGATGCATATTATAATGGATTGACATTATTATAACAAATGACTTAAATCTTATGATTTATCAAAATATATATGCTGATATTCAATCACGATAAATCACGCATTCAAAATTGTATAGCCAAGAATCTAATATATTCGAAATGGAAGACAAATGCAGCCTCCGGGCGCCTGTCAAACAGCTCGAGATTAATTCTGAGAGCGAACTTCAAAGCTTAGCGAGTGTAGTGCCTTGACTGCCAGCGATTTTATATAAGCTGTACCCGCGACTTCTTCCGCATTGAATAGTTCTTCTGGCCATCTTAGTATTGGTTTTTGCAAACAATCTCCTCAGTTTTGTAAATTACAGCTGTTACGTCGTTCTCATCTTGTCGTTCTTGCGATTTAATCTTGAAAGATAGACATATACCTAATGTACAGTAATTCTTAAATAAAACCTAAAGATAACAAACAGTCTTTGTATTGAAGAAACCATGTGAAGATAAGCCATTGCTCTGTAACTAAATATTTCTATTATTTCAAAAGAGTCAAATCAAAGATTCAGTTCGCTGTACCTAATATGTTTTAGTTTTTATTGAAACCTCGATATTTTAGATACTTTAAGAAGACTTGGAAAATTATACAATACTTTAAAAAATTCATAGACATGAACCGCTTTGGCTTTTCGCACGATATTGCGCTCAATTTTTTGCTTCTGAAAGAAATCGGCGATAAATATTCGACTTTATGATGCTTTGTCTATACGTGAAGGTAGACGAGAAAAATCAATGTTTAATAAAGTTAGATTAAAATATTACTTTTATTACAGAGATAATTTTTTTTCAAATTTCGAATCCTGGGGAAACATAAGTATCAGTCACGAAGGCACAGAAGTTTAATCAACATCTATATAAATAAAACCGATGTGAAAAACACATACAAAATTGTGTCTATTGCTCGCGTGCGGAATATATTCTACAAAGTTAAATTCCAAGTATCCAAAGCTGAAATAGGTCGATAGCGCATTTGAGATGTTATATGACTGAGGTGTTACCTTCCATCAAGTGAACTTCATGCTTGTCTGTCCGTCTCAATATTATATAAAAAAGTCCTGTTTTAAATCCTAAAGTTGTAGTATCTACTCAACTGCAATATATAGTTACACATTAATATCAAGACGAACAAAGCGTTAATATCTATACTTCTAAGTGCGAGGCATATTATGTCAGCGCATGTTATAAAGAGATGGATGGGATCACATATTATTAACCCATTTGGATGTGTACTGAGCTATATTAGCATAATAATTGTGTATCGTGATTGAGTAGCGAATAATATTTACAAAGAAACTGGGCCACGTTTCCTTGATAAGGGTTAAAGTCGAATATGTAGGGGTTGGTATATTTATGTAGACAGTAATAGTAAAACTATGTTAGATAACAATTGCCTCTATGAATACTGTCTGTAGGTTACGCGAGTAGTACTTATTTAAATAAAACACTTTAAAGGGTCAGGTCCGTCTCCCCGGGACCACGGCTGCGAAGCATCAGCAACGTCGGGTCATAGTTAGGAATAAAATAATGTATTATTATTAATATTAACGTTTATGGTTCATATCATTTGAATTTGACACAAAAGTATGCCTACCTCAAGTCGAGAAAATTGTTTTTTTTTTATTATAAAAGGAATAGAGATTGCTTTGCAAATGTATATCCTTTCTATTTATATATTACATTTTTTTTATAACTTATAACACTTCACGTTACAGAAGAGAACAAATGTTTATTTTACAAAGTCGAAACTCACGAAAGTCATACATATTGTAAGGACTTCTCTTGTTAAATACCTTTCAAATGAAATTATTAATTTGAGAGGCAAATTTGTAAGCGAAGCAGTAAATAAGGTTGAGATGAATAATTATAAATGACTCTGCGACCGATGGATTTGGTTTCCATTTGAGGTCACTGTTACAGATTATATTAAGTTTGCTCAAAGGGCCGATTTAATTAGTCAGTAGGCTGGCGGACTCACTGTAAATGTTACGATTACATTGTGATATATTATCTGTGTATATTTTATCATAATTATGGCATTTAGTATTAGGCATATGTTTATTTAAAAAGAATGGGAGCTGTTTCTATTCGTACATACATCTGGTCTTTGTTTCTCCTACACGAAATTATTACCTTTATATACATTTTGACACGTAACGGTATTAACGTGTACATAAAGAATCAACCCGAGTTATCTGTCAACATACAATTGTCCAGCGTCAAAGGAGTCCCAAATACAGGAGGAACCCCTTTCTCGAAAACCATTCAAAAGGGCCGATAAAAAAATTGTTACATGTTTAATAGAGTACTTAAAAGGATATTTTTCTTTTAAATCTAATTTTATAGCGTTTAAAATGCAGAACTTGCAACATGGAAAGCCCTATTTATTAAAAGGACTTAAATAAATAGAAAAGTGAAAGAAAGCGAAATATTGAATCTTAAACATACAAATTAAATCGTATGTAAAATTATTTTACTGTTTATAGGAAAAATAGTATGCCTGACTTGCCTGTAAATAACAGATGCCCTGCCGTTACTGTATTGGAATGTTCCTGAAATTTAGACCTCACGCCCTCTCTTATGTAATTCAAAGCTAGAGAAAGCGATTTACTGAGCTGAAGCACTTATGGAAATATGTAGTTGGTATTGTGGATTTGACTTAGCGAAGACTAGCTTTACTAAATACGAACAATTATTTTCGGAATATTTCGGCAAAACAGAATCAAATACTGTGTGTACTATACGCGAGTAGTACACATTTACATACACAGTTTAGCGGTTTAAAACGCGTAACATATTGGTAAAACTTATTTAAACTACGGTCTGACATTTCGGTTGCTTTGTAGTAGCCGTGTATAGCATTTAAACCCATAAAGTGTTATAATTAAAACAGAATTATTGTTTCGAAACTTTTTCGATTAGACAAATTTTTAAAAATAAAAAAAATCTTTAAAAACAATAATTCAAAAGAAACCCTAAGACAGGGCCGGAAAATGTATATTTAATTGCACTCTGTCATTTCTGTATTGTAATGGGACAAGGCCAGGAAGCGGGACAGACTTATACGCGGAGGTGTGTGTGCGAGCGAGAGGTGGGGGTCACAGGTACAGTGGCCTGACCCACTTTCTGGTGTAAATATTGATTTGTTGACCTCCTTCTACCTGTTGCTGCTTTTGCAGCCCAACCCAAGGTTGTATGCAGGATTACATTTGGGCTGTTAATAATTCAGTTCCAAGGGAGGCTTGAAGAGGCCGTAACCCTCTTTGTTCAGTTAAGAATTTAAGACAATTTTAATTATACAGACGGTTAGAGGAATTTCATTTTCCGTCCTGAATAAAGCATTCGTATTATTTGAATAGAGAGATTTACAAATTACACGTGACTAATAAATTATTTTAGTTTATTTAGTCATAAAGATACGTAAAATATTAGCTCTCATACACGTTTATTTATTTTCATTATACCTACATATTGTATTATAAATCCGTCAACGAAATAACGGTCAAATATGTGTATGAATAAAATATATAAGTAAACAACATACAACTACTTACGAAATAGCTTTATATTTTTAAAAGGGACCTTCTAATATTTTATCTAACCAACATTTTACAATTAAAGAAAGTATATATGCTTATTTTACAAGACATAACATGACAAATAATATAACGTTGAAAATGATGACAAAAGAACACGATTTAACTAGCAAACTCATCATCCTAAATTGAACACAGAATAACTTAACAAATTAACTGTAAATTTTTTATCTGCCTAAGTTTACTCTATCTTTAATATTGTGGTTGATCATAGTGTTAATTGTTACAGCGTGGGTGCTTGGTTGGCTGATGTGCAAGACGGTACCCTACGTCCAGGGGTTGTCAGTAGCTGCCTCGGTGTACAGTCTCGTCGCTGTATCACTTGACAGGTATGTTATATGATATTCACTGTTTAAAAAGATAACGAATGTTACGTGAACTATGTGTGTATATTAAAGTCAATCGCTAGATTTTTTGCCACGCTTAAACTCCTAAACTATCCACACAAATGTATTTAAAACAAAAGAAAAATTACATAAAGCTCTTTTAACGGTTTAAAACGCGAAGTATATGACTTATTGAAAATGTATTATAACTAAGAAGCCGTGGTCAGAAACGTCGGGCTGTAATTAAAATAAATTATAAATAAGTTATATAAACTTATATGTTTCGCGTTTTGAACCGAGAAAATTGTTCGTTTTTGTGCTAATCGCGTAAATTGTTAACAGTACTAAAAATATGAATAAATACATGGTAGCTTAATTGTTGGGAACAGCAGCACGGCACGCTGTGGATGCCGGTCCCGTCCGTGTCGCAATTTTTAAAATCGAAAATCGATCAATTTGCGAATAAATAGTTATAATTTTGTATTGTATTTTTTTTATTAATTTTCTTTTAATATCAAAGTTAATAAAACTTCAAATTGAAAACTAATATTTCTGGAGTTACTAAATAGTTGTGTGTAAAAGACTAGCAGAAGGATTCTTGCTATTTATTCTTCCCTCTTTTATGCACTCAGTTTAAAAGAGTGCATATTATTAATAACTCTCCTATGTTAAATGTTCCCGTCGACATAGTAATTCACCTGTAAAACTAAATACTTACTGACCTTACATATAAGGTCATACGCAAATAGAAACTCATTGAGGACCTATTTACTTCAATATCCACTCAATTTAGCGTATAATCTAATAAATAACAAGTCAATTGCAGGGAAAGCGTGTCCTTCTGGTGCGGTGGGCACAAACTTGACCCAAATATACCCATTCTCCCCATTAAATCGACTCTTCAATTGAATTGGGAAAATCTTTAAGTGATTATTTTCGGGTAGGTACTTATAAAAAGCGAAGCCTTTTAAGGGTTCTTAGAGAAGCAATGTGTTTTTCTTAATTTTCATTTTAAAAACTTGTAATACCTATTCAAAGATTCGTAATTATATATCGTCACAATTCATAATTTATGGAGAGCATGTTATGTTGTATTAAAAAACAAGATTTGAAAACAATTTAAAAGAGAAAAACAAAGATACTATGATTGATTATGTTAGTATAGCTAAGTACTGTCTATAGTTTATGCATGTGTACTCATTAAAATAAAACATTTTTTTAAACGCCAAATGTACCAGTTAAAGTAAATTCAACGGGAAGACCCCGTGGCCACGACTGCTGCAAAGCCTACGAAACGTCGGGCCGTAGTTATAATACTTTGCAAATAAGTTCAATTAAATTAAAAAGCTATTGCTCAATTGGCTAGAGCAACAGCACCGAATGCTGTAGATGCCGGTTCAAGTCCTGTCCGTGTCGTAATTTCTTTAAATTCATATAATGTCATCATTTGCAATAATATTAAAGTTAAATACTGTCTGTAGTTTACGCGACACATTTAAATTAAACACTTTAACGGGGAGTCTCCCCGTGACCACTGCTGCTGCAAAGCATCCAAAACGTCGGGCGTAGTTAAAAATAATTTTCAAACAAGTTTAACTAATATTTCGCGTTTTAAACCGTTAAAGTGTTTTATTTAAATATTAAAGTTTTCAAGTTTAAATGAAAAACATTTAACGGTTTTTACTCATCATATAATAAGTAAAAGTTTTATAATAATGGTACTTGTGACCGAGTTGAGATAAATTACTTTCCCGGAAGTGAACTTCCTACTCAACTTTTAAAGCACGATTTGTGCCTGCCATCCCATTATTTCGTCCCCACCTTGACCTGCCTTATAGGTCTCATTATAATGAGCTGGTATTATGGGCCAAATTCCATCGGTGGCCTTGCGAGCCAAAAATTTATCAATGCAGTGGAAATTCACGAATCCCCGGAGGAAAGGAAGGTTGAATAATTTTGCTCTTCGGAAATACAATATGCTAATGCGCGTTTAGGCATTATATGTATACGGATGGGTCATGGTGATATTATCATATTGTGCAACAATGGTAAGAAAAATAACAATCTTGAGATAGCGAATGAAACCCAATGATATCTATAAATATCTTATTTTAAACTACTACCAGACTGCTTTAAAGCATTTGATAACCTAAATATTTCTCACATGTATGTGATGACATTATTTAATTTAAAATCTATTTAGATTAAAAAATAATTACGACGTGACTTGAACCGGCATCCACAACGTTTCGTGTTGCTGCTTTTACCAATTGATACCGATTGATTGCCGTATCCTACAAGACACTGTCAATTTTTTAAAATAAATATATGCTTTGGATGCCCGCGCGTGACGTAGTATTTTAATCGAAATAGATCTGTAGCTTTAGAGCAGTTATAAAGCGTGGCCACGGTCGTTTGAAGAGGTTTAAACAATAGAAGGGAGTTTTTAAGTAGGTATACTACTGGCGTAAGCCGTTAGCATTACTAAAGTGTGTTCTTGCCTTTGTATGCAAACTATACGGTTTTATTACATTAAGTAAAACTTTGTAGCCAAACATATACTCTTTCATATAGGTAGGACATTTGTGATTTAGGGCCACTTTTCTAAATGAAAAGTCGTTGCGTGAAAAGTTTTTATAGTATTACATAACACCATAATAATTATATCGATAACTCGAGATTTTGTGATAACTGTATTCACAGCGGATACTTCGGATTATTTTTAAGCACTGCAACACAGCTTGAATTATGTATTTTTTACAATATTGCAGTGTTACTATAAATGAATTCGGCCCAACTTAGAAACGTTTGCGTTATTGATCTTATATTATGAATATAAATGAAACATCTTTGTTGAGAAATCTGTATTTTATAACTAGTATAGTATTGAGTAAAATTGTACTTTCTAGCATCCAATTAATAGAACCTGTTGTGAATCAGTCCTATATAAGGTTTTGAGTAAAAGGTACCAGCTCTGACCTAGTATCTCACTGCCTAAATGATTGTTGGCAGATAACATCGTTGTGTAACCGGTTTTAGGACATGCCAGTTTTCCGACGAAGATTTATTTATTTATTTATTAAAATTCGTACAACATTACATTAAGTTCATATATAACTAAAAATTATGCGTAATTAACTATTTCAGACTTAAGTAACTATGACAGTACAAATATATATTATACAACTATGAATCTTCCTATCTATGAATAAGTGATAATTAATTTAAAGAAATATTTATAATAATTAAAAAGAGAAAAACAAAAAAATCTAAAAGAGTACAAAATGGCATAGTAAGAAAAAAAAAAAAAAAAAAACTTAAATAATTATGTAAACCTAATGTTAACATAATTGTGACACAACTTAGTAAAAAGTTGTCTTTTGAATGTGCTTTGCTTGCTCCTGAATATATCTATATCCTTATCTGTGCGACAAAATTTATTATACGATCGCATCATTCGAGCAAAAGGTGCTTGGATTCCCATGTTTGTTTTGACGGGGGGAGTGTAGAAGGTGTTACTGATGGTAGAACGAGGATATGAATGTGGAACACTAATATTAATTGATTCTATAAGGTAAGTGCACTGGATCTGACAATTAATGACTTTAAACAAAAACATAGCTTCTGCTACGAGTCTTCTATTGTACAATGAACACATTTTAAATTTTTTGAGTCGCTCAGATTTTTATTAAACGCGTCAAAATGTACACAAAGATAAACATTTTGAACTCGACAAGGAATCAAACTCTCGGTTAGACGGACACGTGCATACCACAAAACTAACTCGACTTTAAATTGTATTGCTTCATTTTATATTGTAACTGCGTTGTTTATTTTATTTAAGAAGGTTAAATATCCCGAACCATTAATTTGCTAAACGCTCTTATCTAACTTTGGCATCGCACTGCGCAGTCTTTAATCGCTCTGACCATAAAATTGGACCATAAACATGCACTAGAGATTTTCCCTATTTGCCAACGTGACGAGAATTAATTCTATCCGAGTGAAAATACGTTTGCATTCGAACTAAATTCTGTAGAAACTCTATATAAGAGAATTGAATCGATTTTTTAAAAGTAATAATGGCACTAAAAGAAAGGCGATATAAGAATTCATATTCACTACTGTCTGTAGTTTACGGGAGTGGTACACATTTAAATAAAACACTTTAACGGTTTCGACGTGATATATATTATATTTATAGGATGCTTTACAACAGACGAAACGTCGGACTGTAGTTAAAAAAAATCAAATAAGTTTAACTAATATTAATCACGTTTTAAACCGTTAAAGTGTTTTATTAAAAAAAATGAAATTATTAATTTGCGATTTAAAAAATAACCTAGTAAAAAAGATACTGTATAATAAACTTACTGTACTGTATAATACCTTAACTTAAAAAATAATGTATTGCTGTAATGCAATAAAAGATAAATTTGCATTAAACTCTCGTTCATAAAGAGATGGCGCTAGCATAGCAGATTTGACTTCATCTTTAAGTCACTCATAATTTTAATTTTATATGTCTCCTGCTAAAACATTAATGCAATTTTCCATAGCAAAGTGATTTGGCAGGCGTTGCAAGTTATATTAATTGCTGAAAATTTTTAATATTCTTATTGACTAAATTAAGCTTGTATTTGCAATTAAACCTATAACTTTTCATTTAATCAATATTTCATTGACTACTATTCATTTAAATTAATTCAGTACTCATTACTTCCTCTGTTTTATTATATGTTATAATATTCTTTGTTTTGCCCCGAACTTAGAGAAAAGTAATAAATCCAAAACACAAATGAAGAAGAGAAACCAAGATGCCCTGTTATCTTAGCAAGTAACTCGTAGTACAAACGTAAACACATAATACACAAGATCGTTAACCTCCGTAGAGTTAAAAGTATGGAAAATTATTTTCGTGTAAGATTGTTTTCCACATATAAGATTTACTTAGAATCTATTATACGATCGCATATTGCTATCAAAAATTAACAGGTATTTAAAAGTATAGTTAAAAAAGAGTTTGACAGGCTTGTTGGTGTAACGTTACAAACATATAGCTAATAACCAACGGATCGTGGCTTCAATCTTCACTAGGGCCAATATATTTCAAATTAATTAAATATTGAAACATGTAAGAAGCCTGGAAATCTGGATATTAAATAATTGGTAGAAATATTTCGACAAAGCGTTAAAGTGTTTTATTTAAAAGATGAATTTCGTTTCGGTTTTCAGTCTGTACACCAAAAAATTCTGATGGACAGTGCATCTTGTTGAGGTGATATCTGGGGCCTCCATGTACCAACGTACCCAACACTTGTCTGTTGTTCTGATGATAAAATGTCTTCTGTAATAGAGATCTGTGCTTAGTAGGTTAGCATAGTACAGTAGCAGTTTCAAATATTATAGCTATTGCTGGATATGAACACTAACGTTTACAATTCGGCACAGTATCTACAGTTGGTTATTTGTCGGCAGTTGGGCTGTATGCGAGTCACGCCTGTAATTAAACTGAAGCTTTATGAGCTTTCGCTTTACACGAATGTACCGCGTCTGTTATTGTGATTTTCATTTCAGTGTGCTTTGGAAAATAGCGTCGTGCTTCGTGTAATTATTCTTTTTACTATTTGAAGTTTAAAGGGTTTATTCATAACATATTTTAATCTATATATACACTAATATGATAAAGCTGAATAGTTTGTTTGTTCGCGTTAACCTCAAGAGATTCGAAAAGTAAAATTATTTTTGTGTTAGTTAGAGCATTTAACGTCTAGGCAAAGCTACTCCTTATATATCTGGGGAACGAGTGTGGGATTTTCTCGACATTTTGTCTGAACACAACGGGAACAAAATGGAATCAACAATATCTAAACTATTATCTACGCCTGACAATTGTAAGGAAATAAAGAGTATTTCTTACATCAGTCACAGCGCTCGACATCTTAGTTAATTAATATTATATTATACTAGCTGTGCCAGCAACTTCGTCCGCGTAGAATAGTTACTTTGGGCATCCAGACTTGTTTTTGCTAACTCTCTACATCTTTATAAATTTAAGCTGCCTACAACATCGCTTGCGGCCCGTCCTTCGTTTCCCGTCGTTCTTGCAAGTTAATCTTAAAAGATAGACATATAGTGTCAGAGATATTTTTTTAGACCATTTAAAGAGGAATAATTCTTTAATACATATTTTCTGGGTATCTTTAACCGTTTTCGCAGCGTACGCATCTAAAACCGGCTCTTTAATGTAAATGAATACTAAAAAAAACAGACAGTAAACTGCCTTCTAATCTACAGATTGAAATACAAAGGTTTTTTATTCACAAACACGCGTTCTCTTACATAATTTCGAGATTTCCTCAAGGCGAAACGCATTTGTAAAATGGTGTTCTAACTTTCCCGCCGCGCCAAGGCTACGGGCTATGGCGGTCCCTTATTTCCCTAAAAAGGTTGAAATGCGGCAGTTTGTGCAGGGAAATTGAATTTTCTGCAAACCAAGGTCAGTGATATTGGATATTGTGAGAGAAATTCGCGTTTTATACGGAATTGATTGAATATTTTCTTGAGTAGCCGGATGTTCTATGCACACATTCTTTTGTACTCTTTTAATTGTCTACCATTGAGGTTTTTATGTAGAACAGTACGGAAACATACTATTGTTGCTTGCACATATATTTTAACAGTAAACTCACACTCTAATATATAATTATCTAAATAAAATTAATTAATCTTTGTTTTATTCAACTACAAAATTGCATCTGTAAATTTAGTTTTATGATACATGATTCGTTTTAAATAATTTTGTACATTATTTTAGTCATTTTAAGAAAAAACATAAACCTTGTATAGTTAGTCTCTTTTATAGGCTACCCGAAGGTTCGCAAGGAAAGACAAAAATATATAACGCGAAATTTCCACATTAAGTAATCAAATTCAATTCATCCTTTGAGGAAAATTATTTTAACAATAATGATATCGCTATTTGTATTGATGTAAAAGAAAATGGATAATTTTAAGACTTTATAAAGAAGAATAAATATGAAATTTTAGACAGCAAAATCTAGATGGATTTACTATTTATAAACATTGTCTTGTTAAAACAGAGCCCAAATCCTTTGTGATATTGTATTACATATTTCTTCCGTAAAGCTACTTGATGTCTTTAAGTAAATGATTACTATTGGAGAAGAATAAGATCCTCAAAATCTCCTTTGATTAAAAACATCTTACATCTTTCTTTAAATTCTATATAAGTGTCGTGATAAATAAAAGTCCACAAATAAAAAAATATCACAATTTTATTCAATGATGTAAAAGAATGGGTGCATGGTGTTTAACGATAGGTACAACTGGGGCCGCGTGAACAACTGGTGCGTGGACCAAAGGTGCGTGGACAACTGGTGCGTGGACGAGTGGTCTGTGGTGTACCACCGCTGAGTGGACTGAGGCTACGGGCACCACTGGGGCGACATGATGGACAACAGGGTGGGCCACTGGGACGATAGGGGCGATCACTCCAGCACTCGCAACTGCTACAAGGGCGAAGAAAGCTACCTGTTGTCAAAGACACAGAATAGAAGAATCCGAAAAGCACTTAAGCACAGTACTTAAAAAAAAATATATATATTTTATATTAGCTGTGCCAGCGACTTAGTCCTCGTAGAATAGTTAATTTGGGCCCCAAATTCTGTTTTTGCAAACCTCCTAATTTTTATAACGTATATTTTTTACACACGACTGCGTCCGCGTCCCGTTGTTCTTAGAAGATGATCTTATTGTCGCGGACATTTTTAGCAAAATTTAAAATTTTGGAATCAGTCAGAGGCAATCTCACATAGATGTTTCAAACTACGTTAAATCATAATTTAAAAATCGAAAATATATTGAAAAAATGTTCGACTCGGCCAGGACTTGAACCGGCATCGTCAGCGTTCCGTGCTGTTGCTCTACCAATTGAGCTACTAAGTGACTCGGTGCCTTCATGTGCAATAACATGTAAAAAATATTAAAGTTTTCAATACGTTAAATCATTCTAGGATTTATGTAAGCAATTAAAATCAATACAATATAATTCAAAGAATAAAGAATTAACCGTATATAATATTTTAATCAAAATATAAAATTAAGATAAAATAACTAAACATGATAGCGACGTGAAATTGTGTAATGGTGAACAAGACGTCTGTTCTTTGTTACATACCTTAAGATTGTTTAATATAAAACGTTGTTCATGACAACCGTCATAGTAACAACTCATTTACAATCGTGAAATATATGTTTTTGACAGCGATTAAAGAATTACTAAGAATTATTATGAAGACAAAATATTGTAATTCTAAAAAGAGTTTGTCTATAAACATTTTAGGTTTTTATTCCGAGGACATGAAATTAGTATTAGTTTATAGGTATGTGATTAGAACGTATTGTTTATTAGGCTAGTATTACTGTTTACGATTGAAATGTAATTCCATTATCAATATCAAATACCACAAGATTATATTTTGTATTCTTTTATTTAAAATGAATAGTCTTACCAGTTTAAACATTGTGCTAGTTTCAATGTGACTGTGGTTGGTGACCTGGCTTAGTCCTTTTATATATCCGTTGTTTCCACGTTCTTGTATAAATCCTTCCCTTCGTTGAGCAATCTGCGACTTAGTACAATCACTATAATATACAGCATGAATCTTTAATTTGTAACTGCTTTTTATTTAAACAGACGACATTAAATATAATCCCAGTTGGTAGTATACAATATATAAAACACGTTTATGGGCTAAGACGAGAAATATATGAATGTTATGTATTATGCTTGCCGTTAGAAGTGTTTTAATTAATTGGTCGAATATTGAGAGGTATTTGTGACGGGATTTTTTAGTCAATAAACTACAACTTCTCTGAAAATCTATAATATTTATTAAATACGCTTCAGAAAGGTTTCATATATTTAGTTCCGGGAATATAGAAACACAACTTTCGTTCCTATAAAAATATAGAAAAAAATAACACGTATAAGATATTATGCAGAAGCTCCGATGTTAGAGTTAAGTAAACCTTTGAAATACGTATCTATCTAAATGTCAATTCACGCATATATTTTTTGAAGCAAAAATAACAAGTCACTATATTTATTTTGAATTCTGACATTCTAGTGCTAAGAAGAATTTAGTTTTCGAATGTTTTAGGAATTCTGTGAAAGTTTTTTAGTCAATATATCAGTATATATTGACTAAAAAAAACATCCTGTTGTTTAAAATCGCACAAACATTTTGTTCGCAAGATCTGATCACGACACATTTACAGTAAATTAATTGTATCCGATAGCTTCGTTAAGGTTAACGGTCCAATTCTTTGATTTTACTTAAATCATAGACCGCGAATGTCCCTCATAGTCAATAGATTTGATAAAAATCTGAAAAAATCGTAATTATAAAAATAATATCATATTTAGTCTTTAAGTTTGAGAAAAATGAGGGTAGTTCGGTTATCGTTTAGTAGCCTACATTTTTAATCATTAGAAAAGCTACATTAGTATGGTTAATTCACTTTATGATTTAGTAATCCATCATCATAATAGTTTTCACTGATACTAAGAACTAAGGTCTTCTACATTAGATATCCAACGTGCTAGTTCTGCGTTGCCATGACAATTTTTATAGAATGCCGGTTTTCTTACGTTTTATTTATGAAAGAGAGATATATTTCACATATTTAGGCTTTGGATAAACAGAAATACCACAGAAAAACGTGCTGGTGATTTTTGATCCGGGCAGAATATCGATATTCCTACCACCCACGTAATATCCAGATTTACAGACGAAATCCAACATGATAGTTGCTAGCATTAGACCAACCCGTCATAGTGTCTTCATTGAACTATATACTCGATTCACGGGATTCAGACCTTTGATCTTATGAACGGAAATCATATATATGTCTTTGTGTTATCCTAGAATCTAGATTAACACAACTCCCCTCACACACGCTATACTTGAAGTACATGCCCGCTTCATCGCGCTCTATACAACAGATCTAAGGTCTAATTGCAAACTCTATAAGGTGCGCAGGAAGCAATCGTATCAATGAAGATTATTTCGCATTGCGTCAAAACATTTTCCTCGTTATGAAAAAGGTCATTGTTGTATACTTGAACTTATTTCGGTTGCATCATTTTAATTAAAGGACGCAGTTTACTTTGTGGTAATAGGTTAGTCCACCTTCAGCGTTATCTTAAGTAATACAAAAAATATTGTTATCACATTATTGGACTTTAGTAGTAAATGTTAAGAGACTTTCGTTTAAAACGAATTTGGAATAATTTAAGCGATTTTAGGGTGTTTTTATGTGCGTTGGCCTTAGATATCTCAATTGTAATAGGCTATATTTGAATAACAAACATATAACTTTAAAAAATATAAATAAATGTCAATAGGCAGTCATCTAATTCCAACGAAAAATCAAGACTAACTTATAATTAATATCGGACAATAGTGTGGCTACATGCATTTAGCAATCATCTCCATCAGCATTTTTAATTGAAATGTGTCTCCACACTATTCCCCCCCTTTAAAAAGTTTAAGTATACCTAATTGATTTTGGATCTAGATTTATAAGTATTTGTATATATGTATTTATATTATTAGATGGATTGGAATTTTTGCCTTTGGAATTCTGCAGTGTTGCAAAAAAAATACTAAAGATTACCAGATACCTTTAGCCCTTAAAGTACTTCGGTATTTCCGTATCTACCGTTATAAACATTAAGGTAGATGCTTCATAATGTTGTTATTTTTATGACAAGCATTGGGTTGAATGGCGTACCCACCTCGAGTGGCCTAGGGGGTGGCAAAGTCAATTTTTTTAGAGACACCTACAGAAAACATTAGGTATGTGTAGTGTAGAGTCTATTCAAAGATGAGGTGTGTTCATAAATTTCCTTCGAGATTTTTGAACTGGAAATCGAACCCAAAATTCGATAGTATAAAATTAATGTCGTGGTTTCTCCTAAAATTATAAATTTAGCACAATATTAGAGTGTTTATTCAACGTCGTGTCAATTTAGATTAGCTACAAATCGAATTATATTCTCATTAATTACGATCGAGTTTAGGTCTCGGAAAATTATTTTAGGGCGGTTTCATATTAGTAATTTTTAAGTAACTTCATATAGTTCAATAGTTCATATGGATTTTAGTAGTTAGATATATAAGTTATTTAAAAAACAAAACGAATTCAAATGATCACTCTCTTGAAAGGTGATTAAAATCGGTACTGTACCCTCCCCTATAAATGCAGGAAATATTGATCGCTAGCCTTCTACATAAAAAGACAACTTTTTACGAGTGTTTTACTCTATTACATCTGACTAAAACTATTAATTTTCTCCAGGATTTATACCGTGATCTCTCGCAAATGACAAACCAATTGTGTTACCGAGTCTTCACTGACTCGGTAGCTGAATTGGTTAGAGGAACAGCACGAAACGCTAACGATGCCGGTTCAAGTACTGTCCGAATCGAATTTATTTAAATTTATATTAGATTTTTCATCTATATGTGCAATAATAGATAACAAATGTTAAAATAAATTTACTTTTCTAGTTTTTGTTTCCACTTATGTTTGTCTGGGATACATTCATTAGAACTTCGATCTACGTTAATATTTGCTATATACTATATAATATGGTGTGATACCGTTGTTTCTTTACCTAGGGACTAGGAACTTCAAGCAATTAGCATATCATTCAGTATTCAAAGACACTGCTCCGTAATTTAATTGAAAAGCCAACCATTAAAGATATAGTGGCGTCTAATTGATTGGGTCATTGACTCCCGGTGCTGCTGAATTGCGATTATTAAAGGTAAGATCTTCTAAGAAATATCTGGTAGCTTTTGATATTTGTCAACCACCTCCGCGAGTCACGAACTTGAATTCCGGGGAAGAAATTATGTCGAATATAGAAATTTCGTCCGGGTCACGAACCACCGTCCACAGATGAAAATGTCGTGAAGCTTCGGTTTCAGTCTGTGGATTTCCGAATATCAAAATAGGGCGACAGCACATCCTGTTTAGATGCTATAGGCTGTGGTATATCACCTACAATCGAGTTAACTCCATGCCATGCCTGTCCACCTCTATTATTAAAATATAAGTATGTCAAAGACTGTCTGTACTTTACGCGAGTAGTACAGATTGAAATAAAACACTTTATTGGTTTAAAACTCGATAGCAGTTAAACTTATTTGAAAATTATTTTAACTACAGCCCGACGTTTCGGATGCTTCGCAGCAGGCATGGTCGCGGGAAGACTTCGGGCCGAAGTTAAAAAAAATTAAAATAAGATTAACGAATATATATCGCGTTTTAAGCCGTTAAAGTGTTTTTTTAATGTCGTATATCGTTTAAAATCTGCACATTTTCAAGTCTATAAAATTCATGCGATCTATGTTACCCGCGGCATTATTAAGAATCGTAATACGTTTATTGAAAGAGCTAGCCAATGACGTACAAATTATATCGGATTTTCGTTCATAATGCATCCATACAAGAAGAAACTACTTTTATTCATTAGTAGAACTTTGTCTTTATTTTTTGTAAGTTTTTGTTCACTAGGCGGAATAATTCTAGTAGTTTCCTCTAAAATTATATACGAATATTTTTTTTTGCCTCTGTGTAATTTTTATGTGTTTCGATAGTTTTTTTATCGATCCAGAGAAGATCGAACGTACGACCCGTGAGCCCATCAAGAGTTTTGCTAGTATAACTAAATGTTAACTTTTGATGTCAACGTATGAATAACGCGTTATATGTAAATACAATTTTAACAATTTTGATATTACTACACAGTATCAAAATTGTTAAAATTGTGAGTTTCGAACACGACTGTCGATCCTTGCTACGTGATAAGTTAGCTCCTTAGAGATTTTTAAATTAAGATACGCTGTGTATTAATAGGCCAAAATTATAAATACTTAATATTTTTATATTACAAGAATATAAATATTTTCTTCTTATTTATTTATATGCATATGTGGGTAGGTAATGTAAGTTTCTCTATATAAAAAAAACAATAATTATTGTTTTCATAAATTTTATATAGAGAAACTTAATTATCTATTTATGATATATAAATCAAACCACAGGATATAATTGTAATACAACCTTACTCGAATGTAATGTTAGTATGTGACCTACAAATAGACAACCTCTCGTAAGTGAAGGTAGTTTGGTTATACATGATTAATTTAGGTTATAAACTATAAGGAAAAGCTAATAAAAATCTCTCATACTATGATACTGAAGCACGAAAATACGTCGATAACACATCTAATTTACATGAGATCTAGGATCGGGCTATGTTACCTGCCATCTTTATAGGTAGTCTTCTCTCATAAGTCCTAAATATTAAAGGTAAAATTTAATTTTCATTATAAAAAAAGATGTACTTTTATATAAAGCTGAAGTATTTTTGATTTTCTTGTTCGGCGTTAAAGTGTTGTTTACTTATCTAATAATTAATAATAACTAATAGAAATATAACTTTAACGGCTTTAAACGCAATTTATTAGTTAAACAATATGAAAATTATTTTAGCTACGGCCCGACGTCTCCCCGTGAACACAGCTGCTGCGAAGCATCCAAATTAGTAGTTAAAATAATTTTTAAATAAGTTTAATATATATCGCATTTTAAACCGTTAAAGTCTTATTTAAAAGTGTACTACTCGCGTAAACTACAGACAGTATTTAATATCAAGTGTGATGAAAATATCTGTATAAACCTAATTATGTGTATATACAAGACTTCATCCAGTTAATAGTTAATGAAATTAGAAAAAAATTATTAATAGAAAAAAAAAAAAAAAGGAAAAAAGGAAAAAAAAAAAAAAAAAGGGAAAAAAAGGAAAAGAAAAAAATATAATATTAAAATTACGAGAAATATTGTCTTGAATAGTAAACTTCATTCTACACGTGTTATCTACATATGTTATCCATTCACTATCCGCTTTAGTACGTAAGTTTGATTAGTTGATACTCCAGTTTTGTATTTTGTTGTTCATTTGTTCATTCATAATCTGCAATTCTATTTATTTAATACATGCCCACACACAGAAAACTATTTTGCACCGTATAGCTTAAAGCTATCTTTTATGAGACCAAATTAATACTAAGTAACGTAACGAATAGTATAATAGCTTTGAGTAATTAAAAATAAGTAGTCCAGGTCCTTTTTTGACAGAGGAACCATTTTTATGATAGAAAAGGACAGACAAGACACGGGGCTCACTTAAGGTTAGTAGAAATATCTCAGCCATAAAACATCGAATAAGATGTGCTGCCGAGCTATTTCGGCGTTGGATATTCCGAATTTGGAAAATACATTAAATGAAGAGTGGAAAAAATTGAAAACATTATTAACTTAATCTATACAATTTAAACTTAAATATCGATTTCTATGTTAAATGCTTTGTGTCTACTGCATATATAAACCAGGTACAATAGCAACTAGTTCCCAGGGCTTCCTCAAAGCACCGTAGAGGGCTGGTGGTGTGTGGTCGGCTATACGATTTACCACACTCTCCATGTCACTATTGCCCGACGTGGGCGTGCATTAGGCATTCACACCATCAGTTAAAAAGGCACGATAGCAACTTAAAACTTAAAATGACGGCTTATATAGGGTATAAATAAAAAATAGCGTAATTTATATTATTTATTTACCAAAGAGATGGTAATGTGATTTCACCTTATATTTCACAACTGGGTGATGTACTGGCACTGAGTGGACAATAGGTGCATGGTGGTATATTGGAGCGTGGTGAACAATTGGGGCGTGGTATATAGGAGCGTGGTGGACTATGGGAGCGTGCAGAAGCGGTGCTGAGTGTACCACATGGTATCCAGGGGCCGGTATCGCTATCGCCACAGCTATTACAGCAGAGAACTGAAAGAAAATGCCTCTCTTTAATACTTATGCAAAATCTTAAGCGAGTTTGAGAGCTAAGATTTCTGCAAGTGAAATTTAATTTCGAACAAGAAAGAGAATATATAAATAGCGATGAAGTAAGTCGCCGTTCTGCTGAATTGAAAATATTTAAAACGTTTGAAGCTTTGATTTAACGGTAATTCACTTTTCGAAACTATATTCGTGAATATTAACAAATTATTTGGTTTAATAAGTAATTACAAGTGCAAAGAAATCCCTTTTCCCACTATGGGACTTGTGATGTTTCAAGGACACATTTAAATATATCTTAGCTTTAATTATAGTTTCTGTGTTCTGTCAGAACAATATATCTTTTCACGCCGAAGCATGGTACCATCACGGTTACCATAACGACTTATGTTTAACACGCTTAGATCCGCCAGGGCATGGTATTTTAATCAACAGCTTTTCTTGAAAAAAGTAGACACAGAAATACCTATGTCTTCCCCATGCCTCACAAAGACAGGGTTTATAAACTAGTCATAATTGAATACTGTCGGCAGTTTACGTGAGTAGTACACATTTAAATAAAACACTTTAACGGTTTAAAACGCGATATATTAGTTAAACTTATTTGAAAATTATTTTTAACTTCGGCCCGACGTTTCGGATACTTTGCAGCAGCCGTGGTCACGGGGATACTTATCTACCGGCTGCTGCAACGTTTTAAAGCGCTAAAGTGTTTTATTTAGTCATAATTGATTGTTACTAGTTAGTTAGATAAGTTTATCTAATCCAAAATAATACTCTTAACCCTTATTAAAAATTGTTACATTAAACTTGCAAAACTGGACACACGAGACCGTTGCTAAATCACATTGAGGTCGTATGTCAGAAAAAAAATCAATTAAAATCGTAATGAGTGATACTTACGATAAGCAGAAGTCGAGTCATCTTGATAAACTGGTCCTGTGTGAGCAAACACACAGCTTATCTGTATTTATATGTACATAGCGAAGTATATAATCGCACCACAGACTTAAACGCAATAGACTCGCCTTCCTTTATTTTGTAATGTTTATCTTTGTTTACTTAATTTGCGCCATCGTTAATTGATCAATACTGAATAATGTTTGTTAAGTGTTACGCGATTCCTTGACTTCGTAATTGTTAACTTCGAGATTTCCTGAAAGTAACTATTATCTAATTAATAATAATTAATCGGTATGACATTGCATTATTGAAATGATAATCTGTTTGCAACTTAAATAAACCTGAAAACAAAATTTATAATAAGCTCTACTATAGTAGAGTAAAATATTTATTTTAATAGAACCAACATAATATTTAATGTTGCCAGTTCGTGAAAAAACATAATATGTACATATGTAGTATCTTTCGTTGTATATAATTATGTAGACTAAAGAGCCGTGTTCTTAAAAGTTCTTAATACGAGTACTTTAGAGTAATATAATAAAACAGGCAGAAAGAAATCACTTTTAACGACTTAAAACCATCATTTACACCTCCGTGGCAACGGCGCTAAATTGCTATGAAGCATCCCAAAAGTCGGCCGTTAATATAAATTAACATATACATATATTCCATGTTTTGAAGCGTTAAATTGTGTCTTATTTAAATTAACAAATGTTATAGAGAAACGAATTATGATTTGTATTTACTTTTTAGTTATTATGCAATTTTAATATTATTATTATTTCATTTTATAAAAAGCTGGAACTATAACTCTTATATAAAATTATTATTTATTTTAAGTCTAGTTATATCACTAGGCTATAGGTTCTATGTAAAATCCATGCCTTATGGCATTCTAGTTAAGGCGATGTTGTTTTAAAGGTCAGGTCTTGGAATCGCGGTCAGTGACAGTTTTTACGCCCATTCAAATACTTAGCCATAATTACAATGCGAACACGTAATACCTAATAACTCTATTAAGAGGTCACGTACGTTAACACTTACAATAATAACAAAAATCGAAAGGAAAATATGTAGGGGCAACATTTCAGACAATTGTTTTGAATTGAAACAAGACAATGAATTGGGCGTATGAATAAACCATTTTTCGAACCATGGATCCAGAATAATCTCTTTACTATATACAGATAGAATATTACGTAATTCCACCTTGAACTAATTGCAAATTAACCTTGTCTTAATCTATACTAATATTATAAAGCTGAAGAGATTGTTTGTTTGAACGCGCTAATCTCAAGAACTACTTGGTCGGATTGAAAAAATTGTGTTGGATAAACCATTTATTGAAGATGGCTTTGCGGCCAAAAGAAGTAATAAAACAGTGGAAAATATTAAAAAACGGGAAACAATATTCATCTTTGAGGGCATCATTGCGTGCGCTGCGAAGACAGTTCAAGAAACCAAAAAAAAACGTATGAACGAACGATTTCAAAAATTTCCACGTCGGTGTGTCTATCTGTTAAAATTCGCTTGAAATTACGAATGGACGCGGACGACGTCCTGGGTAACGGCTACAATTTACAAAGCTGAGGAGATCGTTTGCAAAAATAAATAATACGATGCTTAAAATAACTATTCAACGCGGACGAAGTCACAAGCGAAGTCGCGGGCATGACTAGTGAATAGTAGACGAGTAATACGTTAATATGCTCATAAAGAAATAGATAATTAATAATAAACCGAGCGCCAAAAAGCAATAATTTTTAATTACTGCTATGTAAATTAGAATTTCTGTTTTTTTTAATTCTGAACGTATGATGGCATTCTTCATCTGGGTCGGTTATATTTTATCGTTTGTCGTATGCAACTGACTTGTCAAACCACCAGGTCATCCAAATAGCTGAACGAAATTCTCAATAACAAAAGTAAACTAATGTCGTTAATGGCTTTACTTACTGTAAAGAAGTTTATATTTTCGTATATAAATATCCTTATGGATGTATATATTAGAAATAAAATAAGAATATACTTGAGTTCCATCTAAAATAGACCATTAATAAGTCTTGTTAATTCTCCGAAATTACTTAACTTCTCATTGTACAAAATAATAAGAATTTCCGCTAAATACGTTTTCACTTTCAGGCCGCGACCCTAATTGGTTTCTAAGCCTTTGCGAAATTTTCAAAACAAAGTGGTAAAAGCTTTCCCAGATAATTTTATGAGGGCACATTCCGTTGATTCGATTTTTTACTCTAACAAGAACTCTTGTAATCCTGAGAAGAGTAAAAATACAGGAAGATAATCAATTAAAAGTGAAATACGTATTATCGTTTTTATTCCCTATATTCGAAGTAAGGGAATTTAAATATAGTACAAATAAGGCAATGGTTGGAACTGCTATTTAAGTGAAAGAGGCATGAAGTGTTGTGAACGTTAATGACAAAAAAAAATAGAATATTTTAAAAAATCTTCTAATGCTTTGAACAAAAATGTTAGAGGTGGATGACTTTATCACTTAAGGGTATAAAAAATAGATAATCAACCCTACCTACTGAATATGCAAATTCATAAAATCAATCAAACCCTTTCGGAAGAGACTAATACTGACACGACACTTATAATATATTACTTGTTATTTTATTGTTTAGTTAAATTATCGCTCTCCACTTTGCTCTCAATATAAAGAAAAATATCAAAAAGTTATTACCTAAATAGGACGAGAATTTCAATTCCCCCGAGTACGAGTGTAATAAGCTAGTTAGCTTGTACCAATAACCTACATGTTTTTCTGGGTCGGATGTGTATAGGTAAGCTGTTTGGGAAATGTTTGGTAATCCTTGCGTATTTCTTTCACATAATCGCGAACACATAATAAAAACACTATTAATACGTTTATTTTAAATTAATCTTTATTTTACTTGTAAATCATAAAACATACACATTAGGCATATAGTCTACATTTTTCACCCTTTAAATAACATTTATAGCTATGAGTACATTTACTTAAGCAAAGATATAATTATTATTATTTATTTATATCGTATAAGTTCGTCATTCCTAATACCGTTTTATTACAAAACTTATCACTTTCTTATTTAAAGAAAAACGGCGAATGCCATAGTGAGTCAAATGGATGAGAAAACCACGTCAGCGGCCCGTGGATTATCGGGGCTTGGTGGATAATCGGCGTGTGGGATATAAACGGCCATAGAGGATGGAATAGTGGTGGGTGATAAACGGAGACGGTAGAGACCACTGTTGGTTTGGAGGCCGGTTTCCCATTAGCAGCGGCTAAGAGTGTAAATATGACCTGAAATAAAAAGTATTTTCAAGTAAGACAATAGTTGTCTTTTGCATGCAGGCTTAGTAAAAGATACACATATATACGGATAACATAAGGCGGCGACATTTCTCTTTCACTGATCAACGTTATTTCAATTTTAATAAAAAACAATGACGGGCTCGTTGTAATGGTAGCAAAGTATAGTTAAGAATTAATGTGCCGTGGGTTTGATCCCCACCAGGCCAGACATGTCTGTCCTGGCGTTAAAATTTGTAATTTTTCTGAAACATGTTGATCTGGAAATCTCTATATTGAAAGGCTCGTAGAAATATCGAAATTCCGTCCAGGTCGGAAACCACCGTTCACAGATAAAATCCATCAAGTTTAATCGCGTTTCGGTTTTAGTCGGAGGATTTCCGAATGTCCAAATTTATTGTTTAGGCGCTATATGGCTATGGTGTTTCGCCTACCATCGAGTGAACCTCCACGTCTGTTTGTTCTGTATGATAAAAAAACAAGTATTTCATCAAACTACGCCCTGTCTGCTCGAAGTTAGTTTTGTAGCTCGGTTTCAGGCGTTGTGAATAGATCTAATTAACTTCTAAGCTACATAGGTGGCTTAAAGTGAGTAATTTAAATAAAACACTTTAACGGTTTAAAACGCGATATATTAGTTAAACTTATTTGAAAATTATTTTTAACTTCGGCCCGACGTTTCGGCTGCTGCCGTTTGCTGTTGCTCTACTAATGTGTACTACTCGCGTAAACTGTAGACAGTATTTAAAGTGCGTAATTTATTTGATCAAAGTAAAATAGTAACTTCTCTAGCTGAAACTAATACAAACAACTATAAATATTATCAAAAACATTTTGCTTTACCCACTAGTGTTTATGCAATGATCACATTTTTTTACAAAAACATATTATTAGAAAAATGATTAAAGGTGAAAATTATTAAGTTTTTTAATACACTTTCATATAGAACTGTTAATTATTTTAATTTAATCAAGGTACTCACTAAATAAATGATGTTCCACGCCATATCAGCCGCTAGCTAAATCTTGAATAAATTACTACAAAATAAAACATCAATTTATACACTTGATAAAAATCTAAACAATTTTCTTACGCTTCTCCGCTACTTTTAAGGAAAGTTATTTACCATATAACAAGGTCTGGATTCTGCTATGTTCACTGGTATGGACATTGCCCGATGTTAGCACTGTACTATTTGGTATTGTACTAAGAATATTGACAAAAATCACTCACTAATCTCACCGGATATTGTAGAGAATAATAATGTTTACTTGAAGTTACAGTACCGTTACCGTTTTCTAATAAACGCTCTTAATAGGCTATGGATTGCATCTCACTATCGTGAATAACCAGAATCAGGATCTTGGTCGAATTTCTAAACGGATTGCGGGAAAAAATTCTTTTTGTGGTTATCTTCTTGGTTTTCCTTGAAGAGTTATATACTAAAGTAACATCACCTAAATTGATATACTAGGTTAGTGGTGTGCCACTAACATAGTAGTACATATTCTAATGTTATTTTGATATCTTAAATCTTAGTGTTTGAACCTTATATTAATATATAAAACTGTTAAATTGCTATAACACGGTTAATTATTCATGAACGATTGCTACTGAATTCACTACTGTTTAATTTAAAAATCGAAAATAAATAAATTTTTCAATTTATTTTCGATTTTAAAATTATACAGTGCCTTCATGTGCAATAACATGTAAACAATATTAATGTTTTCAAACGTTCATTACAGTTTGAAGCTTTTTTTGCAATCTTACTTTATGCTTTTTTAATTTGTTTTATTATAGTTTACATGTAACCCGTAATTAAACTCCCTTGCGTATAATTTATTGGAAAGACTAAACTTGGTATACTTATACATTCTTTAGATTTCGGCTATGTTCCATCTCGATGTTTTTTTAAATATGATAACGTCTTCAAATCTACAATATTGCTATTTTTAATAGCTTAAAGCGTATTTTTTTCTATTTAAAACTTTTCTATTTAGAACAGAATAAGGTACATTTTTTACCTGCTCCTTTTTAGTATTTTTATACAAATTTTATAATAGATGATGATTTTTTATCAATCGTTGCGGTATTATTTACATAATTTTGCCTCTGGAAAATATACCTAAACCTATACATCTATACCTATATACCTTTTTACTTAGAATCGCTAAAAGTAAAAATGAAATGATATTAAATTTCTACACATTAGTGTATAATTATACACTGCAAGTCATTAGAAAGAAAAACATAAGATATCGGAGGTATATCGTTTATTTTAGCCTAGTCAAAAAATTAGTGGATAGCGAGAACGGGGACTGCTTTGATCGGGGCATGGTGGACAACTGAGCTGCTGTGGGATACAGCTGAGGGAGCGGTCTTAACAACAACAGGGGTAACCACTGGAGCATGGACTACTGGAGCATGGACAACTGGTGCGTGGACCACTGATGTGTGGACAACTGGTGCGTGGACAACTGGAGCGTGGACGACTGGGGTAACAACTGATTTAACAACGGGAACGGTGGAAACAATAGGGGTGTGTACGGCGTGAACCACTGGAGATCCATGGCTGACGACTTGGCTGCTCTTAGTGATGGTGGTCTTAGAGCCCACTACGGGCACACTGTGGACTACTGGGGCGTGAACAGCAACTACTGGGGCGCTGTGTAGGAGGACACCTGGAGCAGCTGCGGCGCAAGCTACGAAGGCAGCGAACAACACCTGGAAATTGAACATGGTAATAAGAAAACGTAGAAGTGAAAGTCTATATAGATAAAATATCTTATTAAACAAATATTTACCATGGCTATATATCTATATATATCTCTTTTTTTAACACTTGATACTCAATCTCAACTCTACTTTTTTCAAATAAGGAAGCGAACAACCAGTATTGCAGAAACGTGTATCTATTAAAATGCTTAAGTCTATCATTCGTTAAAATAATACAAATCTAATTCAAATTTATATTAACTATTTCTATAGAACTTTCGCTAAGATTTCAATTAAATCTCAAACGATCGTTTAAAACTTATCTGATCGTCTACGCGTCGATTATTTGATTGACAATTTAATCAACTGTTAGCGGTTCATGTTTTTAAGTTATCAAAACTTTATATTAGGAATATGTATATAATAAAATATGTATAAGAGAATTTTGATACGAATTTACCAAGTATTTTGCTAATTAAATATGAATACAAAAAAAAAAATCTAAATCTATACTAATATATAAAGCTAAAGAGTTTGTTTGTTTGTATGTTTGAACGCGCTAATCTCAAGAATTACCGGTATTTGAAAAATTATTTTTGTCTTAAAACGTCAACCTGTGACTACCTGTGCGAAGATATAGCAAGAAATGCGAAAAAAATTGGGAAAATTCTTCATCATTATGGGTTTCCGAGGCGTACGCTGCAAAAACGGTTCAGGATACCCAACAACATATGTATGAAAGAATGATTCATTAAATCTATCTTTTAAGATTAACTTACAAGAACGACGGGAAGGGACGCGACCGATGTCGTGGGTAACAACTTAAGTTTATAAAGATGACGGGGTTTGCAAAAACTTGGATGCCCAAAATAACGATTCTCGCGGACGAAGTCGCTGGCACAGCTAGTAAGGCATATATAGAGTTATAAACAGCTAAACAATATTCTTGATACTTTTTTTTTTTAACTTTTGTACTACTGTTCTAAATTTCAAACATTTTGTCCATGTACCCATACATTGTAAATCTTTTAATTACATACATACAAAATATTTACTTTTTAACACAACTAGACGAGAAGTAAATAATTATAATGGTCTTTTATGATTTAGAATGATATTTATCGGTAATAGATAACTTTGAATATATGCGTTTTTTTATAAATGTAATATAAATAAAAAAATACAAAGTATAATTCCAGTAAATATATAGAAACGTACGAATCAACACTATTCTGTAATGCCCTATTCAAAATCACTTTTGTACTTAACTCAGTAAGATACTTTTGCACTTAGGTTTTATATTTGAGATAGGTATTAGAAACAAAAAACACTCACGAATTTCTGCATGTTTAGTAGTTTTGGGTAGAGATAGTAGATGATACTCTGTGGAGATACTTGAATTATCTAAATTTAGCTCCTCGATCACTGCCTTATATATCGGCTGCCGAAACTTCACAACTGCGTACTTGAAATTCATATTTCACGGCCGCGGATTGGGCATGCATGGATGTGGTAATCGCAGATAAAAATAAAATGTTTAAGTACGAAATCAACAAGCTTTTTATCAATCAAATGAATTTATGTTCTACTAAATATACTTAGAAAAAGTCTTCTATCTTTGTTGACAATAACATTTATGACACGGTCGGCATTTGAACCGTCAGCTACAGCTAACTAATCCTAACCAATAGATACGCTATGAAGTATATATATATATATATATATATATAATATATATATAATTATTATTTTATTAAAGAAGGCGTAAGAGAGAACAAAAGAACGCCAAGATGACTTTCTGAAGGTATACCGGTGGACAAGATGAAAACACCAGGACATATAACATCGCCTTGAACGAGATTATCATTTAATTGTTTCATCAATATATTTTACCCAAAATTATATCATTATAATTATCTTGGACTAAAATTTTAGGAACACATTAATTTCATTTATAACGTACAAGTTTAATTAGTTTCTCAGGCATAAATACTGTCAGTTATACAAACATATAATTATGACTACTGTTTGTAGGTTATACGCGAATAGTATGCATTTAAGTAAAACAATTTTGACGGTTTAAAACGCGAAATGTATTAGTAAAAGTTATTTATAATTCGTTTTAATTACGGCCCCATTCCCGTCTCCCTGTGACGGCTGCTACGGGTATTCAATCATAACGGTTATACTAATATATATTTATTATAACTACGATGTAAATCTTGAGGCCATAGTTAAAATAAATAGTAAATAAGTTTCACTAATACATTTAACGTTTTAAACTGTTATAATGGTGGGTACGATGTCATATCTGACGTAGGTTAATCGGATATTACGCGCCGTTGTCGATGCGTAGTTAAAAATTTACCGTATCCACTGAGCTTTCACTTTTTAACTCCACGTGCACCAAGACAAGTTTGTATTTATTATTGTGAATATAATATAAATGTATGTTGCGTGTAAGTAGGTTGATGCCAAGTTCACTCAGTCAAGTTGACTTACGTAACTAATACCTTATTATAATACTATGGTCAATTGGATATTCAAGATAATTATATAGAAGAGAAATTGTTATACGCTATTTGAATGGATATATAAGTTTATATATAACCATTTGAAACAGTATTTTAGACAAAAACAGTTGATTAAGAGGAACTCGAACTCACAGCTACCACTTGCCTGAAGGATGCACTGCACGATGGTGGTCGTGAATTCAGGTATTTTACATCCAAAGGTACTTTATGAGCCGTCAGCTCCTATCTACGTTTTGTGTATATGTATTTCTAGTGCGGATTGGCAGAACAACAACGACCCCATTAAATTAGTTGTTATAACCAGGTCTGGTGGCTTAAGGTGGAAAGTACTTAGGGAAATTCCAAATACCATAGTAGCATTTTCCAAACAAGATTCAAACCCCGTGTTCTACAGTTGAGCGCTAAATCTTACTTACCACTAAATCAAAATGGCGGTTACATCGCATTCTTATTTTGAAGTTTAATATATAGGCGATGTTCAATTTAACTTGTAGCTACTTTAATTTTAGTCTTTTATTTCTGACTGTTCTTATCTACTTATTTTTTTTTTATTGCGTATTTGTGCAACTATCGGCCATTTTCAAAAGGACTCGATAAGCATAATGTCCTAATTTCCTTATCGAAAAAATATGAGACTGTCAAGAGTAACAACTGTAACAAACGTGAAAAATGTTTATTTTAAACCTTTAAAAGCCTTGCACATAAAGGCTTGATCTCGAATGTAGTCTACATTAAGTATCGTGCAAGACATTTATCGTTTTCGATAAAATCGCGCTACTGTCTTACTTAATTGTATAATTTAAGGAGTTAAATCAGTGCTTTGTACTCTGTAATTATTGTTATTTCTTGGTTAATTCCTTTTTTATCGACTTCCAATTAATTGACAGATCAAATGATAAAGAAATTTGCTTGAGTCGCAAACAATCTTCAGCGTATTTTAATGTCTGTGGTTGGTTATAAACTAACCTATCGAAAATATAAATGAGGATCGAAAACTAATTTAATATTATTTTGTTGGTTGTTGACATTTGTTGTTGACATCAATGGCAAAAGGATTAAGATCTGGGTAAGAAATGGGTATCAAAATATATTTATTTTAATTAAATTTTTATTTAAAAACATTTTTTTTTATATCATAAACATATGTTATGGCCTAACTGAATAGACACAATTTTGACCGTCCGAAACAAATTAATATAATTCATAAGTAAATAGTTTGATAGAAAACCCTTTGTCATACATAGAGCTACCGATCATATACTAGTAATTATAAGTGAAAAGCTCCTTCGATGTGCTAATAGTGTCAATAGTTTTTAAACTAAAAATATAATACAATTGTAATAACAATCGATAAGAGGTTACTGCTTTTTTTATTTAGAGAGTAAACTGTCACAAAAAAATTAAATGATTTAGGTGTTTTAGAAAAAAAGAGCGAATAAATATATAGTTGCTTCATACTACGTCTAGTAGAGTATGGTTGTTTTCTCCTATCCGCGGCTCAATGGTAAAACATATGCATTAAGCACGGTCCTGTATTTGACTCTCAGGTAAACATCATAAATGTTTTCGGTCAGTCTAATACACCAGCATTGATATACATACATAATCAATCGTGAAAAGGATGCAGATTTGTGTCTACCATATGCCAATTATACAAACGATCTAAGAGCCATTCTTTATATTTAATTAAATTGGAAATATTGTTAGTAATTAAGAAATGGGAACTAACTGAAATAAATGGTTTTCAACGAGCTCTACAAAGGGAAACAACGAAATTAAAACTTTTACCTCAAAGGTAAAAGCTCTCAGAACTTGGAAGCAGAGCAACAATCTTTTAGCTAGTGGAAATGGTGTAGTTATTGATTTTGTTAAAGTGGATAAACACATTTTTACGGTAAGGATTGTGGTTTAATTCTGTTTTGAATTTAATTCGTTCAGAGGGAAACATTAAGAAATAGCTATTGATTAAATCGGAATACTTTTTCCTATTAAAGTATACTAAGACGTCATTAATAATAAAATTATATTTAATTGTAACATTAAATGCTAAACTTCGTGACTTTTTCTTGCATGGATTTCATGTTTATATCATATATAATCTTCTTAGTTATAATAAATATATAAAGTAATAAACGTTGATATAGCTGTCTTTATTAATCTATATCTATACTAATATATAAAGCTGAAGAGTTTGTTTGTTTGAACGCGCTTATCTCAATCAATAAAACACCGCTGTGGCTAATAGGAGCACGAAGCAGTGGGAAAAGTAAAAGATACGGGAGAAAATTTTCATATCCGTTGGCTTCCGATGCGTACGCTGCGAAAACAGTTTAAGATAATAATTCCTTTTTGAATACAAAATCTAAAAAAATGTCCGCGACACTATATGTCTATATCTTTGAAGATTAACTTCAAAGAACGACGGGTTCCGAAGGATGGGTCGCGGGCAACGCGACGCGTCCGATGTCCATGTCGGGTAGCAGTTTAAATTTATAAACACGAAGAGGAGGTTTTTAAAAACAAATTTAGATGTCCAAAATAACTATTCTACGCGGACGAAGTCGCTGGCGCAGCTAGTAATACATAAAGACGTATTCCTCATAATTAATTCCTTGTCTTTTTCTTTATTAACTGAACACTCTTATCCAAACTAATTGTATATCACTCGACTTGAAAAATAAATGTTTAATGCTTAGTAACTTACTTGTTGGACATTTTAAACCGTTTGAAAGTATCAAATAAAGCTTTATTGTTGTGGTGTTTTTAATTATCTTTTGCTAATTATAGCATCCATACTTATGTATGAGCAAGATTTATATGTTTAATAAAATAGTAATAAAACAAAAGTTAATTTAAATTCAATTTAATGATAAGCATAGTACGGTACAGTCTCGTGTACTTCCGAGGTGTGATGTGTAATGGCGGAATCCGGGGTCTTATAGGAGTAGATGGAAGTTGCCGGGAATACAATGGGGTGGTGTTCCACAGTGGTTATTTGGTGCAGGGGGGCGTGATACACAGCTGTACCTCCGTGGTTCACCACGTGGTTGCTTTGCGTTGATGTTGTCTTCGCCAGGGGAACCATCAGAGGCGCGTGGATAATATGGCTGCTTCCATGGTCCACTGTTTGGCTACTTGTTGTTAGCGTAGACTTAGCCAGGGGAACGTAATATTCTGGGGCAGCTAGAGCAGTTGCTAGCAGCGAAACAAAAATCTAGAAAAAGTCATAATTGTATACTAAGTTGTAGAATGTATATATTAAAAATATACTTAAATTTGTAAGGTTCTAACAATTCCAATAATTTTATTGTTATAAGTATGATCGATATGGTGAGCAGATTAAAAGTCTCAATTTAAAATGGTCTAAATGTCCCACTTTTGTCTTATTACACTAAAACTAGAGAAGTTAAAGTATTTATTTAGTTTTATAGAGAGATAAGCAATGTTTAAACTGTCCATTTTATATTTAAAGAAAAAAATGTATTTGTTTATAGTGTTATTATCAGGAGCTTGGTATTAGACCTTAAAATTATAAAAAAAAAGGTTTACACATAAGGCGAAAATTTCGTTAAGTTTTGCAAAATTCCGTCAACGCAATGTCAGTTATAAATCGCTCATCCTTGAATAATAACATGTCAAACTTCGATTAATATTGAAAAAAGGCCATCAATAACTCTTTATTACACAATCAAGGTTTAATAGGTAAAACAGCATTATATGCAAATTTCGAAGGTAAGTTCTTATTTGGCAACCATCACTAATTTATCAAAGCTTCGACCACTTTTGGCAGGAGAATTTGTAATAGCATAATCAAGTCTTCAAAACTATTTACTCTGTGCTTTTTAACAAATCATGTTTTAGGTTATCGCAATGTTGACGGAGACTGTTAAGACGACGAGAAGTTATACAGATTTTTTGTTTGTTTGTTTGAGCGCGCTAATCCCACTAACTACTGGTTTGAATTGAAGTTTTTTTGTGTTGGTTGGAACAGTTATCGCGGAAGGCTATAAGACATCAAGATGGCGAAGAAACTAGGCAAATTTTGAAAAAATAGAGAAAATTCAATCTTTGTCATGTTAGAGGACCTCCGTTACGCGCACTGCGAAAACGGTTTAAAAAACCAAAGAAATCTATAAAATAATGATTCTTCTTTAAATGATCTAAAACAATGTCCAAATGTCAATGTAAGAATTTTTTTTAAGAATACTTGCAAGAACGACGGGTTGCGGACAAAGTCGTGGGTAACAGCTAAATATTGTAAAGATGAGGAGGTTTGCAAAAACAACATTTGATGCCTACAATAACTATTCCACGCGGATGTTATACTAAGTAAATGAAAGATTAAAGAAAACCGCTGCTTATATACACATTGGTTGTTTTCGTAATCAAGTGAGTGCTACTTACGATTTTCTCCATTTTTTTGTGAGTACCAGATCCCGACTGATGGGTAATGAGGCCGCTCTGGGGTTTTTATATCTTGAAAAATTATCGATCGGCCCAGATTGCGACAATTACAGGGGCGATTGTGCAATTTGCGAATTAACCGTTTTGTTTTTGAACCTTCGTCCGAGTCAATTACTAGACACATGTTTAGTATAATTAATGACTGATTGACAGGTGTATCGACTTACTTATTTAATAGAGCAGCAAGATCGTGTATCAATGTATATATATGACATTTGATTTGTATTGCACATAATCACTACATCTTTAAGATTTAGATAATATATCTAGACTAGAAAAAAATGGTGTGTAATTGAAAAAAATATGCTTTCATTTCATTCAACTCCTTTAGTTGACTCCGATTATTGGCTAAGCGCGTTGCTTAGCTTTGCATTAGGCTTCAAAGGTTCGAATACCGGGGAACCGTAATCGTCGTTTGAATCGTGCACGTTGGATTCTCAGTCTGATCAGTTTGTAAAACCAATCAATTGGACACCGAAACGTGCCAAGCCCCATGTAGGAGAATGTTAGTTAGCCTGTTTGTCTTTGTAACTGCGTTAATGTTTTTTGATTTCTGCCAATGCTTTTTAAACTAATTTTTGTTTTATTGGAATCCAATAAAATGCAAAATATACTTATCTTACCTAAGCTTACTGTCGTGGGCACAGTGTACAATAACACAGCACAAAGCTTTTGTAAACATATATCTCAGTTATGTTTCTAAGCCATGATATTAGTAAAGCCTCTACGACTGATTAAATCAGCAAGTCATCTTGACTATGGCTTCTACGCCATTAAACGTTGAGCAAACGTTACAAAGCTCTATCACAATTCTATTGTTGACCTTTTGATAGCGAAACTTAATTATTCTGGTGGTGTAACATGTAACTTTTGACTTTGAAATGCTATTCATATCATTTTTATCATCAACATCAATACAGACACAAAGGAAAAGCATGACTCTTTGGCAAATTATTAAATCTATTTTAAATATTATGTAAATTAATGCAATAAGAACTTTCAGATATTTAGGACTAGAATAGAATGCGTTTTGAATTATTATTAAGTTTAAATTAAACACTTTAGTAATGTTTAAAACATGATTAAAACTAATATTCACGTAAACTACAGACAGTAAATACTGTCTATAGTTTACGCGAGTAGTATACATTTAAATAAAACACTTTAACGTTTTAAAACGCGATATATTAGTTAAACTTTAACTAATATAAGTTTAACTAATATATCGCGTTTTAAACCGTTAAAGTGTTTTATTTAAATCTACAGACAGTATTCAATTATTAAATGTTTTTAATCAAATATATAAAAAAATGTTTATTTTAGACGTTCAGAGAAACATCATTAAAAATTGACATACGAACTTACTTAGTAAGTTATAAACATCGTCTTTCTATATGTGCAAACTTTAGCATTTTTATAATCGCTCGGGAAGTTGGAAGAAAATTATACTTTTACCGAATATCCAAAAACAAAATAGGTCGATAGCGCATCTTGTTTAGATGTTCTATGAGTGTGGTATTTCACCTACTGTTAAGCGAACCATGGGGTTCGGTATGTATGGACATGTAACAAGTATGGACTTGTCTGTCTTCCTCTATCATAAAAAAAAAACTATTCGAATTTTAAAATAATAATCCGAATCCGTTTAAAATTATCGACATTTGTACTACTATTTACTCTTTGTACGATATTTGTAGGACTTCAAAAAACACACTATAGATTATTGCTATAGGTTTTTTATTTCTTTATTTTTACGTTAAAAATAATTTATATCACGCACACTTAATGCTCAATTTACTTATATAATACACGAATTCGTGAAAGGAGATCTGCCCACGATAAACAAACCTATAATTATGTAGTAAATATAAAAAGTCAATAATTTAACGAAATAAATTGTAGTGCAACTATTTTTAATGCCGTAAATCGCTCTTGTAAGCTTTAACTGCGTTTTTTGTTCAAAATAAGACGACGTGGAATTACAAGTCAAAGTTATGTGCCCATTGCATTCAATATGTAAATAGTAACGACACAAAACTTTCCATTCTTACTTCGTTTAATGGGAAATTATTGGGAAAACTTTTTATTTGGTGCTTTGTTGTTGAGTTTAGTGTTAAAGCTTACTAAAGATTTTTTAACTTGGAATTTAACTAAAAATAGATTTTCTTTACGTATATTTATAGATATCGTATCGTATTATTTATCCCTTATCATAACGTATCTATACAATATATAAAGCTGAAGAGAACAAACATACAAAATGTTTGTTTGAACCCGCTAGTCTCAGAAACTACTGGTTCGAATTGAAAAATATTTTTGTGTTGATTAGAGCATTTATCGAGAGAAGCTAAAGGCTATAAAGCATTGCGCTGTGCTTAATTGGAGCAAAGAAACAGCGGTAAATGTGAAAAAAATGGGAAATTCATTATTTTTCTATTGAGTTCCTGATGCGTCACACTGCACAGCACAAACGGGTCAAGATACCCAAAAATAAGTATAAAAGAATGATTCCTCTTTAAAAAGATCGAAAAAATGTCCACGATATGTCTATCTTTTAAAGTTAACTTGCAAGAACGACGGGACTCGACCGACGTCGCGGGTACTAGGTTAATTTTACAAAGATAAAGAGGTGGTTTGCAGAAACAAATTTTGCTGCACAAAATAATTATCTCTATGCGGACGAAGTCGCCGGCACAGCTAGTTCATTTATAAACTCACTGGTAGTGCAATTTTACTTCTATTGAATAATAAGACAAACATGTTTCTGCTGTTCGTTATTACGCTTCAATACAAAATTTGACGGGCTTATTGGTACCGTGGTAAAATTTCAACGGGTCGTTGGTTCGATATTCGGAGAGTCCTATTTGTTTTTAATCAATTTATAACTTTAATGAAACATGTTAGACTTAATATAGAATTCTAGATATTACAATATTTTGTCCGGGTTACGAACCATGGATAAATTGCCGCCAATTATTCAAATATCCAAAGCCAAAACAGGTCGAATATATGCTTGCCTGTCCTGAAGAATTAAAAATACTCAGAATAAAGTGATATTATAGAAAAGAGACAGACAATAGAATGTTAAGAATATTTTGTTTTTGTTTTTGATTGTACTCTCTAAACAGCTTGTTTAAATAGCTGACTAAGATCAAAGCATCCTACACAGAGTAATGAAGCTATGGGATGCTAAAATCTGTGCTTATCGTGAATATGCACAGAGACACCACGCGTCTCTAAAAGGCTTCATAACGAGCATGGTCGCATTAAAGCCGCATATCACAGTTGATGGTTGAATATTCAGTACAATGGACAATAAAAAACTCCGTTTACGCGACAATTTCTTCATTAATGTTCTTGAAGCTTGCTAACATAATTCTTACATAAGCTTTAAAAGCTCTTCAACTCTGTGAAAGTTTAGTATTGCGCTAAGCGCGAAAGGTTATGAATTCAAATCTCGGGAAAATTATTATTCGGTCAGATGAAATAAAAACACTTTAACAATTGAATATGTAGACTCACATAAGAAAAAACTGATCTAAATACTGTGTGTGTTTACGCGAGTAGTATACATTTAAATATACCATTATAACGGTTTAAAACGCAAAATTTGTTTAAAAGTTACAAATATTTTTAGCATTTTAAATAGTTAAAGTGTTTTATTTAAATTTAATAACAGTATTGATTATTCGTGAAGTCTGTTCATGAAAAAGTAACGCTATGCCTTTTCTTTATTTGTTTATTATAACTTCTGGCATAAAAATCTTTAATTAATTCAACATTTATTTTAGATTTACAAAAATATGACACGGGCAGAATTCGAATCCACAATTAACTGTGAACTGACTGCTCTACTATTCATTTTAGCTCTAAATCTTGTACATAGTAAGCATTTCCCGTATATCTTTAAATATCTCAGCTTAGGTAGGTACATCATTTTTAGCAGTTGTAAGCTTATAAAAGTTACGCAAAACAATGATTACCATCTCAAAGGAGGTCGGAGGCCAAGAGTATCCGTCCCGGCCATTTAAATGAAATATTATCAATTATATGCCACTGCGCATCGAGTGCGCCCCATTCAACACGTTTATTAACATTTAATTTTACTTATCGATCTCACAATTCGATTTTAAAATGTCTTGAAATTATTGGGGAAACTCGTACAGATTTTTATGTTAAATTTATGGGCTTAAGATAAGTATAAAATAAGTATAAAATTATTCATTATAATTATTCACAGCCCAAATAACTTACAATTTTTTGGTACTTATATTGTTACTTACAGTTTTTTGTTTTACGAAGAACTTCCACTAAACCCTTCAGTCTAGACTAATTATTAAAAGTATTATTCCTTTATTTGGGATGCGACTACTACTAATACGCAACTGGCCCAGTTTTCCATTATTTTAAGTGTATAGTTATTAATGGGCTCGTTGTTCCAATGATTGCAATTAATGGATGCTTTGCAGCAGCCGTGGTCACGGGGAGGCTGCTGCAAAGCATCCGAAACGTCGGGCCGAAGTTAAAAATCATTTTCAAATAAGTTTAACTAATTTATCGCGTTTTAATCCGTTAAAGTGTTTTATTTAAATGTGTACTACTCGCGTAAACTATAGACAGTATCTAATGGCTAATAATCAATCCCGACCGTGTCTATCATGTTTTTAATTAATTTTAAAAATTTTTGAAACATGTTAGGCTTCGTCTGGGAATCTGGATATAAAAAGGTGGTAGGAATATCGAAGTTCCTTCCGGGTCTGTGCCATCCAAAGCCAAAGTACATATCAACCGCGCATCTTGTTGAGGTGTTATATGGCTAGGACACCTTTCATCAAAAACCCCATAGTTGTCTGACCTCCTCTATCATAAATATATATGTATTTATTTGTATAAATATGAATACCCGATGATTTATATTACCCTTTTTGTCATATAGGGAACTGAAATAACAA